GGGGGGGGGGGCGGCAGGCAGAAGGCGAGGGCCTCGCGATCGTCGGCGCCGCCGAAGAAGAGGACGGCCACTTGGTGTAAGGGATGGGGGGAAGGTCCGGCCATGGGGGTGTGAGCGCCCAGGCTTCCGTCAAGACCTCGGTCCACCAGCAACCCTACCGTGCAAGGTATGCGTTTCATCACTCGCTCGTTCAGTTGTTGCACTTCCAATCTCCCCACCTAAAAAAAAGTTAATTAAAATGGTGGTATTTTGTTGTGATATGAAAGATTTGGGTGGTATAAATGTAAGAATTGAAGTTTACGTGGCAGATATGTAAATTCATAAGAATTGACTGGTATGTCTGTAAATCACCAAAATATTTCATTTTTTAACTATTGGAGGAATATAAAATAAGAGGTTCATGTTTTTATACACATATAATGTCGAACATGCATGTACAAGCATCTTTGAAATTTCTTAATTTATCATAAAATTTTTGTGAAAATATTAAATTTATATGATGCTTATGATTACATTATGCAAAATAATTCATAACAAAATCTCTCACATAATATTGTGATGATCTCAGCTCACATTATGTTTTGCAGAGAACGACGAATAAATATTACAACAGGATATCAATTTGGGCATGTCATGTGGTGTACACGCAGACTAATTCGTATATTAAATTAATTTTTTTTACTACGGTGGGCTTGTCTGTACACATGACAGGTCTTTATTAGAGTTCTGATACAAAATTACACAGAACTATATCAGGATTCCTGAGAACGACGAATAAATATTACAACAGGATATCAATCCGGGCATGTCATGTCGTGTACAGGCAGACTAATTCGTATATTAAATTAATTTTTTTTTTACTAAGATGGGCTTGTCGTTACATGTGACAGGTCTTGATTAGAGTTCTGATACAAAATTGCACAGAACTATATCCGGATTCCTGATGTAATATTTTTTTGAGAACGACGCAACAAATACGGTCCTCCTCCACACCTATGGTTCCTAATAATTTTTCAACATAAATGGAGTATTTAAGCCGAGCAAAGGCATAGCTACATGTGTATATGGCTCTCTAAGAAGAGCCATATCTATGCATGATATTAACTATTTTTATTAAAATAAAATTACTAGGGATTCACATACATATCAAACAATTCTAATATATAATTAACATACAACAATCTACACCCTAGTGCCAATGTATCGGCCCTTGCACTGTATTCAAGCTAATACAACTCGTCGCTTCCCAAGGACGCGTCCTATTTTACACAATGATCAAAATGATTCATGCCATGTGCGTCCTATTTTACACAATGATCAAAATGATTCATGTCATGTCTTTTTTCGACTACCTAACGCAACCCTCCACTTTTTACATCCGGGCTTGAGACCGGCAACAAGAGTGTTTCTAATATATAATTAACATATTTAATAATTAAATTTTGATATTTGATTAATTAGCATTTGAGTGACACCATAATATAGACGCATGCTGAGGTCTCCCTAACTATAGTTAACGTGTAAGATAGATCTATGAAATGAAAAATGTCTGCAAATACCTGCATCCGTCCGTCCACCCTCTGGTGTTTATGAAACGGCATCAGCACCAACGACGCCCTCACATCCACCGTCGCATTATACACATCCTCCTGCATCGTCTCCATCGCCGACACCACCATCACCTGCCGCAGCCCTATCCCCGTCTCGATACTGAACACATCCGCCGCCGCCGTGATAATCCGCGCATCGTCCCCGCCGTGCTCCCAGCCCCCATCCTCCTCCACATCCTGCTGGTGATACAGCAAGTACGAAGCCGCGCCCGCAGTCAGCTCCACCAGGTGCATTAAGTACGCCGCCAGTGGAGATTCCGGCGCGCCGCCTCCGCAGATCTCCACGAGGTTGAGCATCGTAGGAACGTCGCGCGGGCTGTGGACGCATGCGAGTATGCGGAGTTCCGCACCGGGGGGGTGGTGGTGGAGGGAGGCACCGCGGTAGCAGAGTGAGCGGCGTTCTAAGCGGATGACGAAGGCTGCAGTGGGACCGGCGATTAGGGTCGCCAGGAGGATGGTGACCAGAAGTACTTTTTGGGCTTCTTCTCCCCATATCTGCGTTGATGGAATTTCATGATGACATGTTAGAAAAATAGTAATTTCATAAGATTATATATGATCTCATGAATGCCATACACCACACTTTAATTTTGATTATGAAAAAAATGATTTTTTTTTAAATTTTTTGACAGTTGAAGTAGTGGAATTTTGGATGTGATATGGAAGATTGGTGAAAGTTGAGATTTTGAGATGCAAATACATAGGAATTGGGTGGCATGCATGAAAATGCTGCTTTATGTTGGCTTTAATTATGTAAATATTTATATAGAAGATAATAAATAGTATTGGGAATGGGATCCTAGTCCTGCTTTAACATTGGTTTAATAACAGTTTTCTTTATATTGTGTTTATCTCAAAATAGATTCAGAAGTCTTGATACCCTAATTTAAATTATGAAATTTACATAAATACCCATACATAATTCTTATTCTTACATATTTATGTACATAAAGACAAAACCAAAAGAAGCATCTATTAATCATATGTGTGGTTGCAACTTGGAAGCCTAAAAACATGGTTTTTAATCCATGCCATGGCCACCACTTGTACAAAATTGTTTTTTGGTTTGATCATAACTTTCAAATCAAGTCAACAAGAACTTTCTTACTTCAAAAAATCAAAACTTTTTATCATAACCTCACCTCTGCCCCTCTTGCCAAAGATACCAGAACAAGATCCACATGACCCTTAATATTAAGAAGAAACCCCAGCAGAATCCCCTCATTAACCGATATGCCAAGGTACCATGTGGCACCAAGAGTCCCAACCACCTTAGAAACAATATTCAGCACCACCATCAGCGCCACCGCTCCCATCATCCCCCCACCAAGTGTGCTCATATCAGTATTAATGGCCGCAAATCCAAAAAATATCGGAAGCACTAAGTTATTAATCGGATAACTAAGCTTATCCACCATCGTCCTCAACGTACAACCTTCCCTCGGCATAACTAGTCCCAGCATGAAACAAGCCATGGTGCTATTATATCCCATCACCTCCATCGTCACCGCCACCAAAAAAACAGAGAACAATAACCCTGCCATCTCCATGCTTCTTATATGCCTTCTCCCTTCATTCCTCCGGTTTATCCATCTCACCGTCGGCCTTAGCGCCCATGCTGAAACGACCAGCAACACAAGCGCAATCAACCCACCCATAAGCTTTTGAAATTTGGTTCGATTGTTGTATGGGCCTGACCGGGCGGTGCTGGCCACTGCGAGGATGAGGAGGCAAGCCATGTCGTTGAGGAGAGAAGACGATACGGCGAGGCGGCCGATGTCAGAGGTGGCGAGCTTCAGCTCGGTGCACATGCGGATGATGATGGGGGAAGAGGTGTTGGTGTATAGAAGGGCGAGGATAAGGAGAAACAGGATGGGGTTGCCGTTGGGACCGGTGGCTCGGTAGATGATGCTGGAGGAGGCGGCGGCGGCGATGAAACTGGATGCCGCGGAGCCGGCGGTGATGATGATGGAGCGGCGAAGGGAGCGGAGGAGGAAGGGGATGTCCATTTCTAGACCTACTAAGAGCATGAAGAACATGCGCCCTGCTGTCGCTGTTGATCCCATTAGTTTGGTGTTGCTGCTCCCGAATAAGAAGAAGTCGTGCCATACCTTTATCTTTGCTAGCATTGTTGGTCCTATCAGCAATCCTGTCTATATATCGGACATTAAGAAATAGATTTGCATACGTAGCGCTCAATTCATGATGCATTTACGTATCTCATGTCAAAAATTTGATTTTTATGTACGCAGCATCTTTTATGTATGCATCTATGCATGAAATTGTCGATTTCAGTGGTTCACTGTGTTGAAAAGTGTGAATTGAATGATGAATTTTAAAAAATGATACTTTTTTTTTAATGAATAAAGGTATGATTTTTAAAAGTTTTAAAGAACGTACAAATATTTGGGAGATGACAGGGGGTTGGCCAATTCGAGAGAAGATAGTTCGGTGAAGAAGGTGGGAGAAGAAGATGAGGATGAGGCACTGGAAGGAGATTCGCATTATGCCATCTTCAAATGTATTGCTGCAACGGCCGATATGTTGTGCTAATGGATTTAGTAGGTTTGGGGAATTTAGTGGCACCGTGGTCGCCATTGTTGCCGATGGTCTAATGCTTAAGTTTGAAGATTGAAGATTGAAAATTGAGGATGAAGAGGGTATGGATTTCTGCTCTCTGGATTTAGTAGGTTTGGGGAATTTAGTGGCACCGTCGTCGCCATTGTTGCCGATGGTTTAATGCTTAAGTTTGAAGATTGAAGATTGAAAAATGAGGATGAAGAGGGTATGGATTTCTGCTCTCTGGGCTAGCTCAACTCCATGAATGACGTCTCTGCTACACCTTGGTGTTTATCTTTCCTCCTGAAATTTTTAGTTTCAGGAGAGGAGGTTTTCTTAATCTGTTGGGGAAGAGATTGGAGTTGGTTTGTTTTGTTTGGTATGGTGGGATGAGAGATTTTTTTAAAATCTGACCGTTATTTGAGGAAAGGTTTATAATTGGCAGTTCATTTGTCTCTAGCGCTTAGTTTTTTATGAGCACATTAGAAACCAGTTTTATTAGGAAAATATTGTAAGAAATTTAAGATGTAATAACAAAAATATAGAAGAAAATGAGAAGAAAGTTTATGATATTCCAAATTTTATATGGAATACAATGCATTGTACATATATTAGTGTTGATAATTAGGCTCGAGCAAACCCACACTTATTTACCAGAGACTTCATTTTGGCTCAAACTATTTTTATGCTTATCTACTTGTTTAATAGGATATAATTCTCTATAGGTGATGACCATTGTTTGGCATTAGGATCCATCGATTGAGTATACTTGTGCATTGTTAAACCAAATGTGTGTTACATTCTACGTTCGCATCATCCTAATTTTTCGCCGTGCAAAAAATTTAATTCACGAGTTACATGATATTTACTATTATTTTTGGGGAGATGTGCACCGAGTGCAACTGTATACTTTTATTATTAATTTTGTTGATTTCATGCCCATGAAATTTTACTCATGAAATTTTTGCCAACGTAAGAAAATTTATTGGGGCTTCGTTTGGAAGAACGGATTGCACGAGTATATCGAAATCATCTTGTCAGTTTGAATGAGACCATGAGCGTTGAATAGGACTTCATTTGGTGCGTGTGGATGGATAAAATAATTTGATGGTTAAATGTCTTGTAATTAATATATATTTAAATTTAAACTCCCTCCCTCCCTCCCTCCCTACCTCCCTATCTTTCTCTCTAAATGCCAAAACTAGGCTAGGTGGTCATGTTTGTTAGCTACTGCGACACCTCATACATTGGAGGCAACCGTCTAGTCACTGTCTCTACACCGTCAAACTTACGCCTCATTTTTTTAATGTAAGCCACTAACAGTGAGCTTCTACCATAGCACTCGGCGTTGGGCACACTGACTCTAAATTAACTAAATTTGTGTGACACTAACACTATCATTTTACTTGCATCAACTGCACCAACCTGATGCCTACGACCACATGAGCTCCATCCCAATGTATCACATACCTAAGCATTGATATGATATAGAAAGAAATTTCTAATATTCTCTTTTCTTTAGAAGTATTGTTCGAATTACTTTCAAAAATATCTTGAATGATTTAAGATATATCGATATTCATATGAAATTTATAACATTATATATCTATTTTTCACTAAAAGACCTCGCATCACAAATTTGACCCTAGAAATCTAACAATTTTAATAAAAAATGACAACCCACTTGATGAACTATTCTGACTCGACGAATTGCGAGTTGCTAGCTCCTCCCAGGCGAATTGTCAGTTATGCGTAGATGAATTGACGACCCAGTTATAGTCAACTCATAACTCACCTTAGTGCACATCAACATACATACACCGTCATAAAGAGTGGCCCAACTTAACTAACACATGAGAACACAGTTGATAGCACTGCACTATATAAACACGAGGTTATAGTTCCCTTAAATTTTCATGTACTATTACTAATCTTTGTCTCATAATGTAATATAAAATTGGCATTCTCCTTGTACTATATAAAGAAGGGGATGGAGCTCATAAAGGAGATATTGTTCCTCTTATCTAGTCTAGAGGATCCTATGATCGTTATCTCATTATCTATATATATATATATATATATATATAAAGAAAGGAAATCGATATTTGATTTCTCATGCGCATCAAGGCCCCTTGATGAGAGTCTGCACTATGTGTATAACTATTCAAGAACCTCGCACCACGGGGGATAAAACCCGTGACCTGAGGAGACTTACGGTGAACCCCCGCCAACGAACAGGACACGGCTTGCGACGCGCACCCACCCAGACGGC